GCCGGGCATCACGGGCTTGGCAGCGCGGCGCGGGCACGGGGAGGCCCCGGCCGGTAGGGGCCGTGCCTCTGCTCGTCCCCGGGAGGACCTCTTGCCGGAGGCTGGGCCCGGGACTTATTTTCAGACCTGTGTGCCACGAGGTGCAAAACGCCCCGTGGGACGTCGTCTGCTGTCCCCGCAGCCTCTCTGTGGCTCCCGGCTCCTGGCGTTTGTTTCGGGGCTTTTTGGAAGTCAGGGCAAAGAAAAGGTGCTTGTGCAGCCCACCGGCCTCATCCTCCAGTGCTGGCACGGTGAACGCTGCCTCTGCAAGTGCTCACCACCAGCCTGGGAGCGGCGCCTCAATGGCTGGGCAGCGGCTGCAGAAACACGAGTTCTTGCGCATCTCGGTCAGAGCGTGGACCAGGGCAGTGAAGCCGCAGCTGCTCTTGGCTGGTGGTGTGGCGGGAACGCTCCTGCAGCACTGTTTGTGCATGGGCTTCTCCTTACCTTTGGCTCCGTTTAATCTCTTGTTTGGCAAAACAACACAGTACTCCTCTCCTTTGTGTGTCTCCATCTCCAGTTACTTGAACTTTCTCCAAAGACTGCTAAAGGCCACGGGAGGGCCAGAGAAGCGTCCTGGCAGCACCTCCGCTCTGGCTGCCCTGCGGCAATGCCGCAGGTACTCTGCAAAAAGGTGCAGGACCTCCTGCTGTGCTCCTCAGCGCCTCACGGACAAAGGGCCGGGCAGGGGAGCAGCATCCATCTCCAGTGGCCGTGTGGCTCGGCTGCTCCCAGTGCCTCCACTGACAGGGCAAGGCTGGCCCTCAAAGTTGGGGAGCGTAACGAGCCCCAGAAAACATCCCCACTCTTTCCCACAGGGAGCAGCAAATCTGGCTGGCAGACCAAAGCAAACGTGGTTGCTCTAAAAGCTGTTGGTTTCAGCAGAGTAGCTCAAGATTCATGAAAGTCTTTGTGGAGGAGCGTTACAGGCTGCACAGGGGTAGCAGGAACAGAAGCTTGGTTTTAGGGTTCTGCTACTGTGGGGGAATGGAAACGAGATTTTCGCTTGCCCCAAACCAGTTCATACTTGTCTTATGGCAACTCAGACTTCTCCTTATAAACATGCCAGAGCGGGTGTGATGATTCAGCTTAATGTGGTTTTATGTCCTAAAATGCTGGTCTCTTGCCACTACTGCTTTTGAGAGTTTGAAACTGCTTGTGCTATTATCTTGATTATTTTTTAAATTATTTATATAGACAGTGTGGGAAAAGCAATGAGAGCGATTACACTTGAAATGAGAACTCCGCTTGGATGAGTTTTTGAATCACTTACTCTGTGCCTAAACAAATGGAGGCAAATGGAGGGAAACTCCCGAATGGCACAAAGCTGTCGCTTCCACCTCCTGCACTACATGCCAGTCCTGAGATCTCCAACCGAGATGTGGAGGAGTCTGACAGGGCTCCAGTGCTCCCAGTTGCCTCCTCCACCCCCCCACCCCCGATCATTTTTCTTCCCCTGCAGTATTTTGTAAGACCAGTGGTCTGACTGAATAGCAACTAGAGTGAAAAAAAAGGCTGTATGTGAAAATTTATACATTTGTTCCCAAAGATGATACTGCAGTGAATGCTTTTATCCCAATAACATGTTTTTGTAAGTCAGGTATTCCTGAATATCTTTGGAGCCCAGCAGGTTCTCTACCAATCCTACCCTTCTTTCCAGAACTGTTTTCCTTTCTTCCCTGCTAATGTTACTGTGGCACTGACTTCCATGAGCCTTAGACAGCAGGTCAGAAATTACTTTCCAGATCATAACTGAACTAAAACTATTAAAATGGAAGCAAGTCCACTAGAAGTTCAGTAAGGGCCCTGATTCCCCATATTCATTCTATGCCTATATTTACCCGCTTTTCCCCTTTTCACATTCATTTTCTAAGAAGATACAGTACTCAGGTATTATAGTGACAGAGAAAGAGACTTCGTTTCTTTCACCCTTCCTGACAATAAAAGAGTAAGGAAAACACAACAACAGATAATGGTGGCTAAAACAGTTGCCCAGAAGTAAAATGCTTTTTCTCGCAGCAGGGCTAGAGCTTAGCACAACAGTAAAGCTACAACGTGGCCTGGTTCAGCTTCTAAACACTGCAGAAGGCTGTAAGGACACCTAAGCTGCAGATAAACTTGCAAAGTAGGAAATAGCTGGTTTTAAGGTAAGCAAGAATGACTTAAAGTGTAAAGAAACACCAAGTCCATTCTTATCTCATTCAGCTGCTTGATGGAGCAGACATAATGTGTCCAATTATAAGTAAATTCTGCTACCTCAGATGCAGATAAGCTTTGTTGGGTAATTAAGAAAAAGTGTTCAAGAGCAATGGTCCTTGTAATAGAAGATCAAAGAATCAAGTAGATGAGACAGAAATGAGTACAAATTATTTTGAAGCTATACTAATATACCTCTCTTTTTGAAATCTTCTCTTTCCTGCTTAATATTTAAAATCCTCTCTTAGAAATTAATGTGACAATTCTTTTGATAGCTCTGCAGACGCTGCATGTACCGCATGGCGGTGCATGGATTTTGAAGCCACCCATGATATGGGGAAAATACTGCATCCCTCACGCAGTCTCTGGTTACCAAGGCAAAGGCAGGTATAAATAGAAACTATCTGGGTTTTTTTTAAACTATCTAGAAACCTGTGTTGTTGATAACCCTCTGACAGCAACGCCTTATTCCAAATGGTTCTGTTCTACATTTGTGCAGAAACTTCTGGTTGTACACGTTTAATCCTTTCCTCTCTAAATAAATAGCTACTTCTGGTTGTCATTCCACTGAAATACAGAACCTGTCTTTGAAGTAAAGTTTGGACAAATATCTATTTTGCTAAGAGCTTTCATCAACTAATCGAACCCAAGCTAACACAAAGCTTGGTGGAAAACCTGGAAAAGAAAGTAGTCTTTTCCCCTAAGTATCATCGTAAGTGGCCATTCAAATGACTAGCAGTAAAATGATTTAACAGTTTTTACATTTTCATCCTCAGCAGTAGCTTCCAGATTCTCCACACCAGTGAGATAGATGGGGTGGTGAATCATTTGCTGTTAAATACAAAGGGAATAAACCAAAGATTAATTTCGTTGATGGTATCTTGCAGTTGCAGAATCAAGACAGCCTCAGCTTGAACTGATCTGGATCATCTTTGAGAAAATTCACCCCAACGGCGTGAATTAAAAACCTAAGTTTCTGCAGAAACCGACAGGTTATCAGGAGACCTTATAACTTGCTGCTTCAGCAAGATCCTTGCAAAAAAATGTTAAATATTGAAATATGGTCTGATCTAGCATGTCATTTCCTTTAGACACAGAGTTACATTAAACAATAGAAGTAATGATAAAAAAATACAAAGATGTGTAATTTTGTAAGTGCTTGAGCTGATACGCAGGAAGTTTCTGGAGCCACTGAAGAGGGAATAGTTCCCATCAGTAACATTACATTCACGCCTTCAACCTCACATCTCGATAAACTGTCATACATAATCACCACATTTATTAAAATGTCTTGTTACAGAAAGATCACTTAGCATTTAGTGGAATTATGTGACTGATCTCTCAAAAGACCTTGCAGGTCTGAAAGCTGACATTATTCTGAAGTTTTAATTAAGGAACAAAAAGCAAAATGAGTAAGCTCTTCTTCTCAAGCAACCATTGCAGTTCCAGATGCACTTCATTTGCTGGAAACCTCCTCCACTTAACACTGCACTTTCAGATGTTCACAGACTTTACCCACATCTCCAGTCAATAGGCTTCCAGGCCATGAGATGCCACATGTCGGGTCTTGTGACAGGAGAGTCCCTAAACCACCGAAGCACGACTGATGCGTGAGCGCGCATCGGTGTGCACATGGGGGGATATCAGGAAGGGCTGCTCCAGCAGTGCTCTGGTGAGCGTGGGGCTGTGGTAGGGAAATGAGGGTGCGGTGCTGTGATTCTTCTGCCAGCAGCTTCTGTACTCACTGCAGCTGGTTGATGGTTGTAGGCCAGGGTAACATTGTCTCTGGCACGTGGGATACTAGGGTGGGGTAAAATGCTGGAAAAAACACCATTTTATGGAGTCTTAGTATGGATCTAGAGGCTTAATGTTAGATGGCCAAATTTCTGTTGTGCTCTATAGGTGCAGGTTTACGTAATTGGAGAGGAAATTACACTGCAAGCAACGTGTTGTATTAATTTAAAACTAGTTAACAACTAATTTTAAAAAAATTAAAAACAATTATATGGACAGCCAGACAAAAACTATAGCATCCATACAGATGCAAGAGCATTTGCCTCAGTGCAAAGGTTACCTTTTAATGCCAAGCATAATCCAAGTTTACAAAAAATGTGGGGGTTTTAGTGTTATTTGTAATGGTGCTGACAGTGTTTCTCTTCTCCACTCCTTAGAAGACAATGAAGAAGAACAAAGTGTCAAGTCTAAGCAGTTTCAGATACCTTAAAGCCAGTAGTACGTGCCCATCAGAGCCTCCTTCCAGGCTTTAGTGGTCCAGGGTTGGAATTAAAGCTTTGTAAGTTTGCACTGAACGAACTTGCTGCAGGGCTTACACATGCAATTTGACTTTTCTGAATGAAGTCATGCATCCGTGTTAATGTTTCTGTTAAAACACTGGAAAGCATTCTCCTTCTCCTCATAGGGAATTTGTGTCCATGACCTGCAGTACCAGCTACTTCTAACACTTGGTACATCGGAACAGTAGTTCTGCCAGCTCTCTGCCCACGAGCACACAAAGCACAGCTTTGCAGGCCTCCGTCTTTCTTGGCTTCAGCACATCTTGAATTCTCTTCTCAGGTACTAAGTCTCCATTAACTCTACCTTAGCCTTTGATAACTGAGAAGCTAGTTTTATTTTACCTTAAGGCAAAATGAAGGTAGGATCAGAAAAGAGAAGCTAAGGTAAAGAAACGTTAACTCCCATATGTTTGTGCTGTTGGTATCCCTGCAGTGATCCAGATGCTCACATGCTAGCCAAGAAGCCTCTGCATTGCCTGTAATGACATCTTAGATTGCTGCAGAGGCAAAAGGACGGATTTAATCAATGACACCAGCACTGCAGTCTGTCCATATGCTATGAAGCACAGGCTCCCAGCCCTGGTTTGCATGTATTCACCACTAGCCAAGGGTAATACAGATGATTTTCAGAAATGTGAAAATTTAGGGCTACTAAGAATCCACCTCGTGCATTCTGAGCAAACCTCCTGGTTACTTTTTTCCCCAAAAACACTGGAATTTTCTATTTCCCTAACTACTGTTTTGCTTCAGGCTTTTTCCCTTAAATGGCCATAGTCTTATGTTACTTGTCAGCTTCAAAAGACAATC